TGTAGCCCCCGTCCCGGTGTGCTGGAAAGCTCTCTCAGACTAAGAACTATGCGGTTTAGTCATTAAGCAAACTGGATCCACACACTCCCTATCATGAAACAGAGACAAAAGCCTCGTAAAAAAAACAGGCCGGCCGGTTTTTATGTGATATTTGTGGGCCCATTGGACTTCGACCTGACAACAGATTTGCCTTTTCTTCTCACCACCAAAAGGGAGCACCACAAAAGCTTCTGAGTTCTGCTTCATTTGACCCTTTGCAAAGCATATGTCCGTCCATCCTGCTTGTATTCTGTCCAGAAGATGGACTGCTGTAAGGGCCAAAGAAAGCATCCCTGCCCACTTGAGTGTGTTACAAAGCCTTCAAACAAAATCACTTGTCATGGGGTCTTTCCTTTTTGGGACCGTCTCTATTTCTCCCAGCCCTTTGTCACTTCAAACATGTTACTCTGATGTTGCAGACACATTTTTCTAATGTTTTACACTCCATATAATCTGCTGTGTGCAGCAAAGCCTATTTTACTGGCTGACATAATTGATGGTGCCCGGGACCTCGCAAAGGTCAACCTGGCAAGAAAGGTTCTGGTTTCTGTCACCATGGAGATTGCGAGAACACACGAACACACCCACACCCACACCCACACCCACACACACACACACACAGACACATTCGCACAATAAAAGCAGGAATCTTTCTCTGTCTGTTTAAGCAAAGGTTTTTATTTTCCCATCTACATTAAAAACAAAAAGAGTATTCCATACTATTCAGTTCAGGGTTACTTTTCAAATTTCCCTTGTGAGAGCTGATAAAAGTAGTTGAGATAACTCAGAAGGCACACAAGCACACAAAGAAAAAGCCTCCTTGTATCACCTTTAAAAGAACAATTTTATAGAACTCTCATTTTCTGCCCTGTTTCCTCTGATAAATCAAAGGTGCTGCAGCTTCAAAGTCAGGAAGACAGCCCTCGCCGGCAGAGTTGACACCCTTCACATTTTCACACATTCAGTACACACGCACACACAGAAAAAACTCACAGGCGTGCGCATGCCCACTTACAATTTATCAACCAATCACACATAATGAAAACAGAGTAAATTTAATTTCAGGTTCACCTCAATTTTGAGCCATCTGTAATCCTATGACAGCTGGCAAACGGCAGGAAGAAAAAAAAGGGAAGAAAAAGGAAATATCGACACACACTGTGTATGACTTTGAGTGGGATGTCACCGAGACGTGAATGTAGCCCGGGCTTATTTCTTCCTGGGCTAATATCATTTTTCCACCGGCCGAGAGTTTTCCCCCTCAAGTGCAAAGTAGCCGCGGTGGCACGCAGGAAACACACACAAATCCCTTGTCCAGACTGGAACTGGCCTTGGCAGGATCACAACTCCCCTGTTGTTTATATCAGAGAGCAGAAGCTATCCATTACCCAGAGCAAGGTGCCTGATTCTTTTTTTTCCCACCAGCGGTCAAAGTGATATTGGTTTCTTGTATTAAACTGTAGAAGGAGATGCAGGCAGCTGTGAGTGCCAAACGCCCACTCCCAAGGCCAGTGAAATCAGGTGCGAGAGCAGCTGAGCTCAAACGGTGGCAAAAGTCCACGTTGCTAATGTTTTTGCTGTGCAGGAGAAGGTCAGGCTTCAGAAGGATGTTGGCACATGAAACCACTGACAAAATGGATGTTAATTTTGGTAATTGTGCTGTTGCTGAGGAGCCCACGCTCATTCACCCTTTGGGTCCTAAATACATTAGTAGACCCCACAGAGTCAAAAACCAGCGCAGTTCTCCTGTGATTTGTAAAAGAGTATTCTCTTTCTTCCCATCGGGGGTTTGAATCAGAAAAGACAAGATGCGGCCGACTCGATGGGAAATTATTGTTGCTGTAGGAGCTGCATACTAACACTATAATTCAGGGTTGCTTGCTGTGACCCAGCAGTCAAAAACAAGAGGATGAATTACTAGTTAGCACCCTCCCTGCCTCCATATGGGCACAGAGACACATTGGCAAGCAGAAGGACAGGGGTGTCTGCTGGCCTGCTGCTCGGCTGTTGCACATTCTCGTCGCGGGGAGACAGCGGGAGGATGCCAGTCTGACAGACAGAGGCGCTCTTCGGAGGGAAGGCACCATTGTGGCAAATTAACAGCAGTCAACAGGCAAAAACTCAGGCTGTTTTGGCATGACTGGTGGGTTTGTTTACCTCATTTCTCTGTAGGTAGCCATCAGTCACTGGGATAGTCTATTCTGGTGCAGAAACCTCCCCTGTCTCTTAAACTAGTTAATAGGGGAGGTCAGTGTTGGGATTTGTGAGCACCTGTGACCTGCAGATGTTGAACTTTTCCTCTATAACAGTGCCCGTGAGCTTAAGAGTACTCTGGGTCCCCTGAAAGTCCTGGTCTGCAGTCGTCTCAGGCATTTCATGGAGTGTTAATAGTTTCTCAGATGCTGTAGTGGTCAGCGAGTAGCTAAGTTTTATGGAGTGTAAACTTTTGCTTCTGCATGCCTGCCTTTTCTTAAACCTCCATGCCTTGAAGCTCCTCAGCTATTACGCTACCACAGACAGCTATTTTGTGAAGTTTTACATCATGTTGCACTGTGTGCAGCAAGAGTCTTTCCATTGTGCTGCGATGAGTGAGTGACATGTTGTTATGTGATAGAATAGACAGATGCTTGTTGATGTTAAGATACAGCCCTGGCTCGAGGTGTTAGTGAGCTGCCCCAGGCTGCCCTCCAGCCAGCCTTCGTTTGGAACACTATCATCACTCCAGCTCTCCGAAAGCTAAAATACCACCTTAGCTTGGCTGCATGTTTGTTTACCCACCATACCCCTACACGGGGACGGAAATGTTTATGCCTATCTGTAGCAAAATAGACAGGGCTGAAATTGGGCTCTGGGAGCCAGTGGCAGGGTACAGGGGCCCTGCTTGTCCTCTCATTCACCCTCAGGTTGTGGCCAGGGTCGTGGAGAGATGTGTGGTCAGCATCAGGACGATAGAAGTAGATGCTGAGGACAGCTACTGTCATCAAGGGGTAAATAGACGGAAAGAGGGGGCTGATTTGCACCAACACAGACCAAAGAGATAAAGGACCGTGGTCTGGCTGAGGAGGGCCCAGGCTGGGCTTGACCAGTAAACAGGCAGTGGGGTGCCAAAATGGCCTGGGGATCAGCCTGGGGCTAAACCTGAAGGCCTCTCTCAGCACTAGGCCTTCTAAACACAAGATCATAAGTGCACACATTTTGGCACGCAACCACACACTGTTGGCTAACACACACACACTGACATCGGTCCATCCACAATCACAGATCATTTGCCTCAAACAGTGATAAGAGGGCGGTTTCGTACGTTTTTGTACGAAATCAGTTATTTTGCACTTTTAACAGACAGGGTTATTTTTTGGTGGTTTGTGTCACCAACATTGTCCGTTTGGAAACCTCATCGGCGCATTTGTCTGAATCTCGTGAAGCACAATATCAGAATGCGTTTGAATGGCGCTTTTTTTGTTTGTTTTTTCTTCTCGCTATCCATTCTGTGTCCAATCCAACTTGGGAAGTAACTGAACCGATGTCAGAATCCCACCGGTGCAGGTTCCAGATGAAGCCAGCCTCTCTCGCTCTTCACTTTTTGCGTCTGAAACAATGATGGCGTGCAACCCCGCCAGCATGGCAATGCGATGTCTGCCGGCGCAGAGTGTGATACAGTCTGAATCTACTCTCTGGCGCTTTCTTAGCGTGTCATTCATCTCGGGCGGACGGGGTTTGATCCAAACCGAGTGGCACAGTTTTCCGCGGGGGAATGCAGCCGGCCCTGCCTCCCCCTGGTCACCATAATCTTCAGTGTCTCCACCGAGTCAAGTGCAATCCGTCACACGGCGCTACGTGTTTTGACACCTGTCCTACGTGGTGCAGAGGAAGTAAGCACATTACTCCATCTGCTTTGGAAACATGCACACAGGAAATCAAAGCTATCGTCACGTGAATTAAGACAGGCAGGTAGATTGTCAGAAAGGAATAAAAAAAAAGAGGGAGAGGAGAAGAAATGAAGGCTCCCTTATATTGTAGTTTTTTTTTTTTGAACGGGAGGTTGGATGACTGGGGAGGCGAGTCACTGTTAATGGGAAGAAATGAACGCGCTTGACTGGTGGATGTGACAGGAAGAGACTGTTCTTAACAAGGCGTCAGAGTCAGTCAGAGTTACAGATCCATCACTTCTCAGAGGCTTGGCGAATCGGGGGGGGGTGCGTTTAAGGATATTCAGAGAAAGAGAGAGTCTGTGATGGGTAGAGAGGAAGAGGGAGACGGCGAGGGGAAAGAGGGATTTGAGTTTGGCTGACAGCAATGCATTTAATTTGGGCTGCCAGATCCTTTTTCATTTGACTCCCTCTCAGCCAGCTTAGTGGCTGCGGAGGACTTGGTGGCGGAGGTTTGCAGGGATGTCTCTGATTAGCAGTGATGTACCACGTCACACTCTAAGCTGGCCTGTAATTCATGTTCAACAGGGGGATACTCACACATTACACTGTGCTGTGCAGGACGTGATTAATTGACTCACACTCTAATATTGGATGTAATTTGCCCATCCTCTGATGTGAAACTGACTTTATACTAGACTTACTGTATTCTGCCATCTCAGGGATGCTATAATTGAGTCTTGACTCAGAGCTGTGTAATTTCTAAACTGAGAATTGAAGCTCAAGGATGGTGGGGATCGCTTCAGGTAGTCTTTTCACCCAATTCCTGGCTGTTGAATATTTAGTGGAAGATTTAAGATATTTCTAATCTGTGATGTTGTGAAGGTCAGATTCATGGTAATTGCTTTAAAATGCCCATTCTGGGTCACACTATAAATGGAACTGATGGGGAATCCAGATGGTGTGAGAGTTTTTTTTTCCATTCTTGATTTTTTTTATTTTTTTCCCCAGTGACTCAGGTTTGCTGTAGTTTATTCACATTTCCATTCAGTTCCACACGATAGACACGATTTCCATTTCTGCTCCTATTTTCAGACAATGCTCTTCCTGGCTACAGTGGAGGAGGAAGGCCAAGAAGGAGAGGGAAGGAGAGAGCTGGCAGAAACCCTCCTATCGGCTCTGACAGACAGACACCAGCAAAGACAGACATGGAGAGACAGGTACCACAAAGCACCACAAAGCTTCCTCCCATTGCTTTAGACAGGGAAAGAAAAACACGATGAAGCGTGAGGGTCATCTCATATTCAGAATGAAAAGACCAGCACACGCTAATTTAAAACAGTCGCTCAGGACGCATTCAGAAAAATATGTCCAATCTCTTTATGTTGATATGTGTTTAATGTTAAAGAGCCATTCAATTAACACAAAAACAGTTAATTTTTTTTGTTCCTCTAAGTCACATGTGTCAAACTCAAGGCCCGCGGGCCAGATGTGGCCCGCCATGTCATTTTATGTGGCCCGTGAGAGCTTAAAAGTTTTGAGTGTCTAAAAATGAATACCAAAAAAATTTTTAAAATTAAAAGCATGCTTTGACCAAAATCTACATTTCCTACAATGCCTTTTCAACTACTGGATAAATAATGAGTTATTTAACATTAAGGCGTCGTTACATTTCTTTTACATTACATTCAATTACATTTAGTTACATTTATAAGTTACATCTGGCCCTTTAAGGTCAGCCAATACGCTGATGTGGCCCTCAGTGAAAATGAGTTTGACACCCCTGCTCTAAGTGATTCACATTTATTATGTTCAAGCAGAGGTTACAAATGAGCATGACTGGCCATTGAGCGAGTATCACCAATTTATTCACGAGCAGTCTTCCCTTAAATGGTGCGTAGTGGCAGGCTTTCATAACAGTAACCACATTCTCAGACTGACTTATCAGGAGAGACATCACGTTCCTTCTACATTGATTCGGTTTGCATTGACGATTCCTTCTAAAGAGCCGATGTGAATTCCACAGATACGTGGCTGGTGCGTGTTTTCTGGTCCTCGGTTCTGGCAGCTATCACAGCGACACGTGTGCGCTGGATAAGCCCACTCACTTCCTTCCCTCCAGATAAGGCCAGAGAGCACAGGGATTAGAACCCTGGGCTTTCTTTTAGATAAAGAAAAAGGCCTCACACATGCAGCTCAGTATTATTTTAGCTGTTCATTTTCTCAGTCACCTTCCACCTCAACACCAGCAAAGACACACACACACACACATAAATACTCACACACACACACACAAACCCAGACCGGCGCACATGATTTCACCGCATTCACATATGTTTCAATGCTTATTGTGTCTTTCAACAGATTTTGACTTTGGTGTCACACACAGACAAACACACACTTTGAAGCGGACGTGATCCCACAGATGATAGAAAGAGGTCTTAGAAGTCAACATGTTTTCCTTTTTTTTTAAAGTATACGTCGACTTCTGGCTATGATGGTGCCCCCTATTTTCCACGGCGGCCCTTTGTTTTGAATTGTCCCCTCCAGTTGACCCTTTACTCCGACCCATCCAGATGAGCCTTGTAAAGAGGCCGTTTCCACACACCTTGCTCCGCTGTGTTGACGCCCAGTGCCTCACAGCTCTGATGTGGGGCCTGCTCAGATAGTGCATTCCAGCTGCATGTGCTGAAAGATAGAAACCATCTCACCATCAGAACCAGCCCCCCCCCAACACCCACAATGCAATGTTTCCACCTACTTACTATGTCTGACCCTAGGCCTTTTCGCAGCCCACCCTAAGATCCTGACAACAAGAATCACAGACCAGGACAGGAAATGCTCAGTCCTTGTCGGCAGGGCCGACAGACGTTTACTCTATCAGCAGCAGAAGACTGATGAGATTAGTTTTGGTGGAGGGCAAGGCATCCCGCGCAGTATGTTTGAACTACAGCTGCTGCTGATACCTCCTCTTCCCTGTACACACATTTAACGTTGGTCCCTAACCTCCATCGCCCTGACTTTTAAAAGCCAGGGGTCGTCCTGTCAAGTGGTTGTCAACAGATAGCATTTGTGCAAAACTAAACACATGGCTATGTGCAATGTTAAGTGGGACGTGTTGGTGCTGATTAGGGCTTTGCCACTGATGAGGGTCAAGCATTGCCTTGTTAGTTCCTTGGAAAAGAACAGAAGTGCACATTTATTCACCCATGCTAATAAGAGGTAGTGGTTGTTTTAATTATAGAGAACAGTATATTACAGAAAGGGAACACACAGTGGGGGGATTTTGTTGACTTCAGTCAAATATATTCAAACCATCATATATTTTCATAAGAGCACTCACTGAAATAGGGCTTCCAGAACTAATCTGCTGATTCAGTTTGCTGCTTTTTCATATTTAGGGTCCTAATTAGATTGCAACACAATATTCAACAGGTGGGCTTTTATCTTGACGCCCTCTGTTGTTTCCGAGGTTTCCACTCAGCACATAATACTTGCAGAAAGATGGTAAAAAGGAGGAAAAAAAAGCATGATTGATGACTGTAGCTAGAGGCCCATAAACATACACAACCAGCTCTGATTGATTAAGTTTGCTGACTTTTCTTTCTTAAACACGAGTTAAAGCAGCAGTCTGTGCTCTCCAGCCGGGGCCTGCTTACTGCCATTTTTTGTCTCCGGGGCATTTCTTTTAGCACCAGCACGGAGGAAAGAAAGAGGGATTGGACTCGGTGACCAGTGGTTCTTCACAAGTGACTTATAGGCACTCAGAGTGACTGATGCCTCGACTCACCGTGCGAGCAGAGGCAGTACATTCATTCACTCTGAGCCAACCGAGTTATGAGAGGTTTTTTATTCTTATGAGCTTTTCTGGTAACTGGGTTTTCCCAATGCACATGGTGAATTCTTTGATAGATGCTGCCCTCCGTGTCCCTTCGGTAAATGCCCCGTGAGTACCCTGGAAATAGATGGATTATTATGTGGGTGGGTGACTCTACCGCAGTGGAGCAGTTCAGCATGCCACACAGGAAGTGCGCATTGAAGAGCAAGACACAGCCTCCAGAGAACAGCTCTATTAGGATAGGAAATAACACATCCCAGTGGCACAGGGGACATTTCAAGTTTTAAAAATTCATACATCATGTTTCATATATATGCAATTATAGGTTATAAAGAATCCGCGGGAGCAGTTCATGTAGAAAATCCTTCAGTCTACAGTTTTCCATGGTATTCATGGTTCTTTTTATACTTCTTGAGAATATTTACAGCACCTGGTTTCCTCCTGTTCTCAGTCTTTGCTTATAGTATATCTATCCTTAATCCCCCCTGCATGAGGTAACCTTATGTTGACCCTCCAGGTCCTACAAGTCACTTCTCTGGTCAACTGAAAAAAAAACAACAACAACAAATCCAGCAATGACAAAAGCTTTGTCACAGTCTGCAAGCAAACACTGAAGAGAACAGCTGCAAGTTTTGTACCGGCCATGCAAACTGCTGTAGGCTTTGTAAGGTCATTATATGATAATGAAAATCATTACAGAATTACATGGGGGTTTAGGACATGAGAGCAGCAGGGAGGGGAGAGGAGGGCCACATTGGGTTTGATAAATGGACTGTGAAGGTGCCCATCTGGCCCCCTCTATGGCTTTTTCTTCCTGCTCTTTTATCCACTCTTGTCCTTTACTACCACTCTTTCATGCCCCCCTCCCCCCCACACCCCGCCCTCTCTCTCTTCTCCAGTCGGCCAGTGTAAAGGCGAGCAGGCCTGTAGTGAAAGATTAACAGAGTGCAAACGCAACTCACCTCCATGGAAGAGAAAAGAGGAGGGAGATGGGTGAGGTGTTTATGACCTAAAGCAGGTTTTGTGCCCGACTTGGGAAACCCTGTCCCTCCACTCTCTTGGTCTTGAACAGTAGGAGAGAAGGCAGCCATTGACCTTTGGCACTGGAAACAGTTGGTCAGCTCAAAGTGTGAGAATTGGCAGAGTTTGGAGGCGCTGAGGTGGTAATAGTTAACAAGGTTTTAAAAAGGTCCTTTTCGTTTTTAACCATAGCTTCTGTGCTTCTTTGATTTGGGATGGAAGAAAATAAAGACAGCAGCCATAAATAAGACGTTCACAGAAAATAATTCAAATTAGCTGTATTTGTGCTGCACAAAAAAAAATCAAGTAACTTATAAATATATATATATATATATATATATATATGATTTGTAATTTGCTGGGATTTGTCGTAGGAATCATATCCGTATCCTGAATTGTATAGATTCAGGGTAGATGCTCTTTAACAAGTTGCTGTGTTTGTAATGGCTGTACTCTAACAACCAATGTTGTAGTACATCTGTTGCTTATGTTTATTACTTTTCTCCAAATTGTGACATTAGCGAGGTCTTTATCCAGTGACAAAGGAAACATCAGCTGACATGAAACTCAAAGCTAAGGGACAGAGGCGGAGGCCCACGTGTCCACAGCTGCACTCATCACTCAGCTGTCCAGCTCAACCCGTGACCCGGGGGGCTGTGTACTGGCCTCCGTCGGCTTTATGTTTCCCTCCATTGTCACCCCCTCTTGTCCTCACCTGGACAGGCTGCTGCTACACAAAAGTCCAGTCTGTCATCAAAACCCAGGGTCACCGGAGGCCACAAGGGGCCGGAGAGGTTGAAGCTCTGCCCGGTCAGGGATGACCCCGCCAGTGTTGTCATCTACCAGTTGCACCCCTGTGGAGATGCATAGTGTCACAGAGAAAAAGGAGGAGAGAGACCTTCATCGGCTGGCACTTCATTCCCGGAGTGGTGACATATCTTTTGTGCTGTCTGTGACAGACCCCCGCCCTGATTCCTGCACGGAGGCGGGAGAGGGAGTTGGTAGACAAAGAGGGGCCCTTCATCCCAGATGGGAGTTGGAAAGATTGTGAGTGTCACTCCCACAATAAAGATGGACATATCATACCCTTCTGTCCCGTGTAAGCAGTGACCTCCTTCAAGCCTTAGAACTATATGTCCCATGCTACATGGAGCTACCATCGCCCAAACACTTGAAGTGGATAGAAGACACCATTGTGTGTTGAACATTCCTGAAGTTCAAACTAAATACGATTCTCCTTTTCAAACTTTCTGAAGTATGGAAAACATGAATATTGTGCAGCGTTTCATTTCCATGTGTAAACAGAGGGAGTATATTAAGCATCTGCAGGATTTACACATATCTAACAATCGTGAAGTCAGT